CAGTCACTAGATAGCCAAGTATAATCTTGATCTGCTACACTTGCCTCAACTCACTGGGGTCATAGCCAGGCACCACACTCAGAGATGAACTGATTGTGTTTATCTGTAGATTGTAGCATGCTTTGTTTTACAGAAGAGTAGAGAATGTGGACATGGTTTAGGTCTGTGGACTTTGTGGTGATATACTGTGTTCCCTAATAAAATTTGCCTGAAGATCAGAGGACAGAACAAGCCACTAGATTAAACATAGAGGCCAAGCAGTGCTGGCACGCACCTTTAATCCCAGCACTAGGAAGGAAGCGATGGCTGGGTGGAGGAAGGTGTATAAGGGTGAGGAGACAGGAACTGAAGGCTTTTCAGGCTGAGGAGTCCTGGAGGGTAAGACGTGGCTTGATCCTTTGTCTCTCTGATCTTCCAGCATTCACCTCAATGTCTGGCTCCAGGTTTTTATTAAAAGACCGCTTAGGAATTCGTGTTACAGGACTTAAAAAGGGGGTAGGTTTGTTATCTAATAGCAGAGTCATTTATGTTCAAGACGATTGCTTCTGTACTTTTCTTCAGCTCTTTGAACTACAGAAGAGTCCCTGTGTTCAAAATTGCTTAGGGGAAATGGTGTCACAGAGCTTTGTCTCGTAAGTGCACACTCAGGACCCATGTGGCATGCTCAAAGCAGACCATTTCCTGGGTCACATCTGTTTGTCACCACACCTTGGTCATTTTTCCCAAGAGAAATACTTGACTGTCACCTAACCAGTAAGAAGCAATATTGTTTTGAAGAAATATTTAATGTTTTATTTCCCCTAAAACTCTGATAACTCTTGGGATAGGCCAATTTAAATTCTTAAGACCAGACTTTTTTGTTTGTCATTTTTATTTTAAGACAAGATGTCCTTGACCCATAATCCTCCTGCCCACATTCCTCGGGTATTGAGATTATAGGCTTTTGCCACTGCCCGTTTCTGTTTGTTCTTTCAAAAATGTATTACTTTCTTTTTGCTGAGGGTGGGGGCAAGATACAAGAGTCTCTGTTCTTCATCATGCAGGTCCTATGGATGGAATGCAGGACATCAGGCTTGGCACAGGTGTCTGCCCAACAGTGAGCTCTCTGACCAGCCCCCATGGTTTTGAGAGCAGATTGGCGTGTGCGTGTGCGTGTGCGTGTGTGTAAGATTTAGTTAAAATGATGTGCATGTGTGTATGGGAGGGCATGGGCACATGAGTGCAGGTAGTTGTAGAGGCCAAAAGAGGGCGTCCGATCCCCTGGAGCTACACATCGATGATGCAGTTGTAAGCTGTGTGGTAGGGGTTCTGTGTGCTCTTGACCTCAGAGACTGTCCCCAGCCTGATGGTGGTGTTCAGTGGCGACTGGTCATCTCAGCCTTGACACCCGAGTCTCATCCCAGCTGTGCGTCTCACTGCGGCCTTAACACAGTCTCCCTTCAAATCGTCCAGAGTAATAAACCGTGTGACAGTTTTCATGACACCTCAGCAGGACAGTTATGTGGATGGCATACAAGACACAGCGGGCGTCTCCTTTCCCTTCACTGATCGTCAGCTTTTGTCTGCCCTTCTCTGTCGAGTTCTGTGCTCATAGTTCTCAACTCTGGGCACAGAGTGAACTTCTCTGTGTAGATTTTTAGATAGAGCTAACCCCTAGAAATTTAATTGCGATTATCTAAGAAGTGTAATGTTAAAAAAAAAATCTCGTCAGAGCCAGCAGGGTGGCTCAGCAGGACACTTGCTGCCAAGCCTGATGAGCCACCGGAGGTCAGGCTATGGCACACCCACACATAAACACAAAAATAGTAAGGAAGGGCTGGAGAGATGGCTCAGAGGTGAAGAGCACTGGTTGTTCTTCCAGAGGTCCTGAGTTCAATTCCCAGCAACCACATGGTGGCTCACAACCATCTGTAATGAGATCTGGTGCCCTCTTCTGGCCTGCAGGCATACATGCAGACAGAACACTGTATACATAATAGAAATAAATAAATCTTTTTTTTTAAAAAAAAAAAAAAGTAAGTAAATAAATAACTGTAATTCTAAATAGTGACAATCTCTTTATGTGATTTCAATGGACAACGAAGAATTAAGAACACTGAGTTGGCCTAGAGAGATGGCTCAGAGGTTAAGAGCACTGGCTGCTCTTCCAGGGGTCCTGAGTTCAATTCCAGCGCCCACATGGTGGCTCACAACCATCTGTTTTTTTTTTTTTTAAGATTTATTTATTTATTATGTATAGTGTTCTGTCTTCAGGCCAGAAGAGGGCGCCATATCTCATTACAGATGGTTGTGAACCACCATGTGGTTGCTGGGAATTGAACTCAGGACCTCTGGAAGAGCAGTCAGTCAGTGCTCTTGACCTCTGAGCCACCTCTCCAGCCTTTTTGTTGTTGCTGTTTTGGTTTTTCCAGACAGGGTTTCTCTGTGTAGCTTTGTGCCTTTACTGGAACTCACTGTGTAGACCAGGCTGGCCTCGAACTCACAGAGATCCGCCTGACTCTGCCTCCAGAGTGCTGGGATTAAAGGCCTTTGCCACCACCACCTGGCTCACAACCATCGATAATGAGATCTGGTGCCCTCTTCTGGCAGGCAGGCAGACATGCAGACAGAACTCTGTATACATAATCAATCAATCTTAAGGGGGAAAAAACTGGGGGCCTAGAGAAATGATTCTGCAGTTAAGAGCATTGGCTGCTCTTCCAGAGGACCAGGTTCAATTCCCAGCACCCACATGGCAGCTCACAACTGTCTGTGACTCCAGTTCTAGGGGACCTGATACCCTCACACAGACAAATGTGCACATAAAATACAAATAAATAAAATATTTTTAAAAAGAAAAAAGAAACCACTGAGCTACATCCTGCTCTATTCCAGGACTTTTTCTCTATTAATCTATTCTGGTGCCTTAAAATTTCACACACAATACCTTTTCCGATTGGCTGTTTGAAGCTGTCTTTCCTTCAGCTCCCTACCAGAATGACAGTCAATCCACTGACAGAGAAATGATGTTTATTCTTTTTCATCCTGTGTAGATGAGTGTTTCTGTACATGGGTGTGTGCATGTGAGTGCAGGAGTCCTCAAAGGCCAGAAGGAGGAGAGTGTTGGATCCCTGGAGGGGAGTCAGAGGTGCTTGGGTATGCTTTGTAACCAATGAGCATCTCTCTAGCCACAGGAAGTTTTCTGTTCGGATTTTATTTTATAGTGTGTGTGTGTGTGTGTGTGTGTGTATATACACACACATATATATACACACATACCATGAGCATGCCTCATGTCCAAGAAAGCCAAATGATATTAAGTCCCCTGGAACTGGAGTTACAGACTTGTGAGCTGCCATGTGGGTTCTCAGCACTGAACTTGGGTCCTCTGTAAATGCAACAAGTGCTCTAAACTACTGAGCCCTCTTTCCATCCCCCCAAAATTTCAATGCCTGTATGTAAGCATGTGTGCTTGTGTATTAAACTGGAGGACAACCTTAGCTGTCACTTCAACAGTGCCGTCCACCTCCCTTAGGTGGCATGGGGCTCAGCAGTCGCTGACATCCCGCCGCAGACCCCCTCTTGTCCCTGCCCCATTGCCGGCATCCCGAGGGCACCACTGCACCGGTTCTGTTTTGTCTTTAACGTGGGATTTGGGGAATTAAACTCAGGTGCTTGGGCTTCCAAAAGCAATGTGTTACCAACTGAGCTATTCCCCAGCTCCGGGAAATTACTGTTTTTTATTTTCCTTTCGAGACAGTGTCTCACTGTGAAGCCCTAGCTACTTGGAACTCACACCGTAGACCAGGCTGGCCTCGAACTCACAGAGATCCGCCTGCCTCTGCCTCCTGAGTGCTGGGACTAAAGGTGTGCGCCATCTTGCCCAGCTCAGAGGAAGTATTTTTGGTCACTGTCGTAGTGAAAGCAGCAAGAACAGCAAGAAGCTCACAGTCTCTTTGGGCCTGGAACTCACAGGTCACACAGTAACCCCAAGAGCCCCCTGCATCTCATGCGCTACTACACGAAGTGCGTGGACACGTTCCCGCCGGCCTGAGTGGGAAGCTAGATTCCCTGAAGGACAACGATGACAGCCATAGGACCTGCAGTTTGGATAAAAATTGAAATCCTGGCAAGTCTAGAAACTGATGGCCCTTTCTAGTTTTTAATTTCAAAGAGCTGGAAGGGTGGGTGGCTCAGCAGTGTAGAGCACTGGCTTTTCTTGCAGAGGACCTGAGTTCCAGCGCCCACTTATAACTGCCTGTAACTCCAATTCTAGTGGGATCTGGCGCCCTCTTCTGGCCCTTCTGGGCACTGCATACCTGTGGTACACAGACCTACAAATGGGCAAATCTCCATATACATAAAATTTAAAAAAAATTAAATATATTTCAGGGGTGGAAAGATGACTCAAAGGTTAAGAACATATACTGCTCTTCCATAGTTTCTGAGTTCAAGTCTCAGCAACCACATGGTGGCTCATGACCATCTGTAATGAGATCTGGTGCCCTCTTCGGGCCTGCAGACATACATGCTGTATACATAATAAATACTTTTTTAACCCCCAAGACAGGGTTTCTCTCTGTAGCTTTGGTACCTTTCCTAGAACTCACTCTGTAGCCCAGGCTGGCCTTGAACTCACAGAGATCCACCTGCCTCTGCCTCCCAAGTGCTGGGATTAAAGGTGTGCGCTGCAGCCGCCCAGCAATGAATAAATATTTTTAAAAAAAATACATTTTAGTATTTTCTATACTCTGAGGTAGATGAATTCTGTTCTGGCCACATACTGAGGTATTTCCTTGATGCTCTCTTACTTTCCAGTTAAGGTCTTAAAAATCCTTAAGCTATGAAAACAACGTAAATGGATTCTAAAATGTCTGAGCTCTTCTTTTAAGCCTGGAAAAGGTAATGTCAGCTCACTGTGTAAGACTCAGTTTGTACAGTACACTATGAAGGGGGTGGTACGTGGACATCGTCGCTGTTGTGAAGTCAGTGGTTCACGTGCCCTGTTGTCCTGTTTCCAGGTATCCAAACCATTGACTCCACCCAAGCTCTGTTCCTGCCAATTGGAGCGTCCGTCTCTCTCCTAGTGATGTTCTTCTTCTTCGACTCCGTTCAAGTAGTTTTCACAATATGTACAGCAGGTAAGTTAGCTTCCAGTGTGCTGAGGGGAAGAAGCCGTGCCCAGTGAGATGTGTCTTCACTGTCTGTGAGGGCGATCTGAAAGGAGGGTGGGCAGCTCTGGTGACCCCGAACGCCGAGACTTACTTGTGGCAGGTGCGCAAAGGTCTCGGCAGGCGTGGCGGCTGCTGCGTCCTCCAGTAGTGCGTTTGCAGACAGAAATACTGACAGCTAGTCAAAGTCCTTAGCTGCCAGCTTTTCATTGTGCGTTCAAGCTCTGCAAAAACTAACAGAGGTCGGGTCACCGGGGGCGGGGTGGGGGGGGGCTCCCCCTTTGCCTGCTGCTCACTCTTTCCTACTGAGTTAAGAGACTAAGAAAAGTCTTTAGGTAACTTTCCCACTTGTCAAGAAAGAGATGTTGGAAAACTATTTTACATGAGTTAATGCCATTTTTCCTGTAATTAGTAAAGAAAATATTTTTTAATGAAACGTATTTTCTTTCCCTAGTTCTTGCAACGATAGCTTTTGCTTTTCTTCTTCTCCCGATGTGCCAGTATTTAACAAGACCCTGTTCGCCCCAGAACAAGTAAGTTCTTAGGGCTTTCCTCTGAGTTATAGAGTGACAGGGATTGGCTGCAGTACACAGACGGCCAGAGATCTGGGGATTGGGGTGTTTGGCCGCACTTGTTGAAACTGGAAGATGATGTCCCCTTCACACCGTCACACAGAGGGACACAGACACATGTTCAGAAGTGGGAATGGCTGGAATCTGCTTCCTGCTGAGCTAGATGAGGAAGGCCCGAGCAGGGAGTATTGATGTAACCAACCGTTTTATTAAATAAGAAACACAGAAACAATGTAAAAGAGAAAGCCGAGAGGTCAGAGCTCAGAGCCAAAATCTCACCCTTCCGCCTGCGGTGTCCCAGCTTCCCGAATGAGCGCTCTATTTCCTGTCTGAGTGTTTCTTAGATGACTCCAGCAAGGCTTGGGTCTTAGTTTCCCTGGTAATTAGGTGTTTCCTACGGCTCTGCTCAGCCATTCTGAGCTCCGGTCACCAAGAGCCACAGGAGCATTTGGCTATTGAACGCAGCATGCCCCTCACCCGATACATGTGTGTTTCCCAGGATTTCCTTCGGTTGCTGTGGGCGCTTCACTGCGGCGGAGCTGCTGTCCTTCTCTCTGTCTGTCATGCTCGTCCTCATCTGGGTTCTTACCGGCCACTGGCTCCTGATGGACGGTGAGTAATGTGACAGTGGTCACTGTGCCTTCAGCTGGGGCCGGGACCCACGTGAGCAGTGAATTGTAAAATCACCAGGTTCCTGACCGTGCCGTGACCAGAGGTTAGCTCAGAACCAGACACATGGTGCTCCAGTGTTCTGACAGTGTGCTCCCATGGTGCAGCACCAGGTGCCTTCACCAGACCCTTGGTCCTGAAAACAGTGTCCCTGCCTAAAACACCTGTGCTCGAAACCACGCCTATTACATGTTATAATTGAAGCGCCTCTGCCGCAGTCCCGAGTCCTCTGTCCCAGAAACACGGTGCTGTAGCAGACAACGGAAAGTTTTCATGTTCTCTGCTGTCGGTTCAGCATGTTTTGCTGTACTGACTTAGCATAGCTTTGGGTTGGGGTGTGCTAGAATATTGAGTTTCACAATTGCTGTCTGAGCCAGGCATGGTGGTACGTGCTTTGTTTTTTCTAAGACAGTTTTTCTATGTAGTCCTGGCTGTTCTGGAACTCCTCCTGTAGACCAGACAGCACGTGCTTTTAACTCCAGCACTGAGGAAGGTCTCTGTGAGTTCAAGGCCAACCACCCCTTCTGGTTCTGCAGGCATCTGCACACCCATGATATAAACATTAAAAGTTAAAATACTTTAAAAAGCTGTATTCTAGCTGGGAGGTGGTGGCTGCACGCCTTTAATCCCAGCACTCAGGAGGCAGGTGGGTCTCTGAGTTAGGGGATAGTCAGGGATACATAGAAAGATCCTGTCCCCAAAAATAATTTTTTAATAGATGTAAGGTATTGACTGAAGACAAAGTGCGTTTCAGTGCTCATGGGGCCAGGATGCTGTGATCTCAAGGTGTTTCCCAGGGTGAGGCTGATTTACCGCACTCTGCTCCCCACTATTGAAAACAAAACTGCAGCCGGGGGTGGTGACGCACGCCTTTAATCCCAGCACTCTGGAGGCAGAGGCAGGCGGATCTCTGTGAGTTCGAGGCCAGCCTGGGCTACCAAGTGAGTTCCAGGAAATACGCAAAGTTACACAGAGAAACCCTGTCTCGAAAAAACCAAAATAAATAAATAAATAAAAACAAAACAAAACATGCATGCTAATGAAATGGATGTGCTTATTTACTTTTATATATGGTGAATGTTTCATTTTGCAAGATGTGTAGAATACCCTTGGTGTTTTTCAGAGTTGATCAGTATCTTCGAGTTTATTATCATCAGGGCGCCAACAATGCCATTTCACAGAAACACAGTACAAGATGGCAGAGGGTGTCCAGGGCCAAAGCAGAAACTGTTGGCGATTGTGTCCTGATCCCAAGTCAAAATTCATTTAACAATTATTTATAAAGCTCAAGTCAGCTAACATGTTACAATCCAAAAACTAATTTGATGCATATTAACACTAAGAATGATGGTGTAAAACAGTCTTCATGTCTGTGACTTAACCATTGTTCTGTGAGAGCAGAAAGAAAACTTCCTGTGCATGAAAATGCTGGGTCTGCTTGCTCAGTTGCTGGGTTTCAGGCCACAGTCATTGATACTACATAGCACATGAGCAGTCCAGTGCACGTGGTCATGACCAGTGCTTCCGTGAGGTGCTGTGGGGGTACACACTGTTGGCCTCCCAATTGTCACATTTGATTTTTTTTTTATTATTAATTTTTGACTGTTGTGTGTTTAGAAATCCTTGACTAACATTGACTAATTTTTTGCTATACGCAGTTTAAGAGACGGGCTTTAAAGGACGTTTGTGTAAATCAGGTCAGAGAAACAGGAGGAAGGTGGCCAGAGAGAAGGCTGTTGACAAATATTAAGGTTAGAATGTCGCAAATATTGATGAATTGATGGAGGAAATGCCATGGAGGGAGAAGAGTGAATCACTGGAACTGTGTGTCTAAATGAAGTAAGGGGACGTGACTCTGAATAAGTCCCCCCCCTTTTTTGAAGACAGGGAGGGTCTCTCACTATGTGGACCATGTTGGCCTTGAACTCACAGAGATCCATCTGCCTCTGCCCTCCTGAGAGCTGGGATTAAAGGTGTGCGCCACTCTGACCAGCTAAGCTGACTTCTTAACAAGGATGATATGCTCTACCTGTGGTGTTGAGAAACAGGAGTGAGGAGGGGTCTTCCAGGCCTGTAGCTAACGCTGGCCCAGTTCCTGGGGCTCCAGACAGCCCAGCTTTGTGGGGTATCATAAGAGCTGTCACCTACCTGGAATCCCAGCGGTCCAGATGGGCTGCCGCGGGGAGAACAGGTGTCTGGAAGGAGCTCAGAGCACTCCTGCAGACTGTAGGGCTGGGTGGTCAAGAGCTTGTGGGAAGAGACCTACCACCCACGTGCTGACTGATCGATCCCCATGTTTACCCCTGCTCCCAGCTCTGGCCATGGGTCTCTGTGTTGCCATGATCGCCTTCGTCCGCCTGCCGAGCCTCAAGGTCTCCTGCCTGCTTCTCTCAGGGCTTCTCATCTACGACGTCTTCTGGGTGAGTGTCTGCCTCAGCAGCAGCCCGCTCTCCTTTGAGTTTAGTTGAAGCAATGGCTGATAAATACCCAAAGACTGACGTGCCGCCGACCATCTCGGGTGAGTCCTGCTGCTCCAGGGCTGCAGCTGTTGAGCACATACAGGCACGTCTGTCCCCTTGTTGGCGGCCTCTCTAATACAGTAGGTAGTGTGGGTGGCGGGACAACAGGCTGGGAGCACTCTTGCACAGGAGCACTCCGTTCTAGTGGGAAGACGCAGCGCCCTGCAGGCCAGCGCGGGAGTGAGAATCCTCTTCCCCTCAGACGTGCGGTCAGAGCCTTGACCAGCCGTACGGGTCTGGTTCCGAGCTGTGTGGACAACAGAGCGGGCTGCTGGCTAACTCGGGTGGCCTGCAGCTTCTCTTAGAGTCGTCTCTCCGTCTGGGCAGGTGTTCTTCTCCGCCTACATCTTCAACAGCAATGTCATGGTGAAGGTGGCCACGCAGCCCGCTGACAATCCACTTGACGTTCTGTCTCGGAAACTCCACCTCGGACCCAACGTCGGCCGTGATGTTCCTCGCCTGTCTTTACCTGGGAAATTGGTCTTCCCAAGGTAAGGCTGGCCTGTGGGTCCCCATCCTGCAGTGAAGGAACATATACTGCCTTCTTGTGTGTCTTCCCCGCCATGGAAATCCATCTGTCTTCTGTAATCCCAGTAACAAAATCCCCACCGAGGCCCCCGAGAGGACAGGGTTACCTTGCTCACGATCTAAGGGGGCGCAGTCCATCCTGGCAAGGGAGGTGCCCGTGGGGGCTGCAGCTTCACCACTGGTGTGGGGAGCCTGGGGCAGGGCTTGTTCTCTCTCCAAGGAAACAGAGTCCCTCAGGATGCCACACCACTGCCCCAGAGGGCCCCTTCCTCCTCCTAGGCCTTGCTTCCTGATGGCTTCACAACCTTGGAAAACAGCCTAGCAGGCAGGACACGGGTTGTGTAGTCTTTATGCTATTCACCTCTGATTCTATTCTCACATGACCTGAGAAGATCCATGGAATTATTTCAAGATTAAGACTTACCTTATTGCCTAAAATGTGATGTGGTTGACTTTTTTTTTTTCTTTTTTGGTTTTTTGAGACCGGGTTTCTCTGTGTAGCCCTGGCTGTCCTGGAACTCACTTTGTAGACCAGGCTGGCCTTGAACTCACAGAGATCCGCCTGCCTCTGCCTCCTGAGTGCTGGGATTAAAGGCGTGCGCCACCACCGCCCGGCCAGTGGTTGACTTTTTTTCAAATTTGATAGGCTACTGAGAAGAATGTGTATTCCACAGCTGTTGGAATATTCTATAGACATCTAATTTTTTATCTAAATCAACTACATTTGTATCAGCGGTTCTCAACCTGTAGGCTGAACAACCCTTTCACAGGGTCACATGTCAGATCTTTACTTTACGGTTCATGACAGTAGTGAAATTACAGTCCTGAAGTAGCAACGACAATGTTGTTATGCTTGGGGTCAGCACAGCACGAGGAGCTGGCTAGAGTCTCCCAGGTTGTTGCAGTCAAGAGTAGTCTGTCCGGGGGGCTGGAGAGATGGCTCAGGGGTTAAGAGCACTGACTGCTCCTCCAGAGTCCTGAGTTCAGTTCCCAGCAACCACATGGTGGCTCACAACCATCTGTAATGGGATCTGGTGCCCTCTTCTGGCATAAAGATGTACATGCAGACAGAGCACTCATACATAAAATGAATAAATAAATAAAAAGAGTAGTCTGTCCAAACAGCTGTGTGCTGAGGACTGAGCCCAGCACTGTCACATCCCACCAGCAGTGACCATCCTGTGTGGAGGATGTCACCTGTCCTCACCAGAGACACAGGACTGCCATCCTTGGGGCACTTCTGACGTGGTCTGAAGCCAGACCACCTCCTCCAGCCATCCCCAGACTGTGTGACATGTGACTAGTCCTAGTTTTCAGAGTAGCTCATTCTCAGCTCAGACCCCCTCTCATCTGGCCTGGTTCTAAGCCTCTGAGATAGAAGAGTGCAGAGTGAAGCCGTCTCCGTAGCTGTCCTGGCACACAGGAGGCACTGTCATGCCACGGCCCCAGCTGCATTTGAGGCCAGGGGCACCTTTTCTCCCCAGCCACCTGGCTGATGCCGGAGAGGAGACCCAGGCTCCCCTCCCTTCCTGGGCCTTGGAACAGGGCCCGTTTCTCACTGCGCACAGCCTTTCTGTTGCTCGGCTTCTCGGCTGGCCTGGCACCATCACGTGATTTCTGATGACGTTCTTTGTCACCCTGGCCCTTCTCGTTCACAGCACCATAGAGACATTAAGCTGCCTCCTCCACCTTGACATGGGTGCTGATGTATCACACAGCAGCATGTCGCTGCGGTTTCTGCTTTTTACAGTCAGCTGAAATGAACAAAATCTGGGGTTTTTTTCTTGAGACATTTGTAAAAATATGTTCTCATGGTAACAGTCTCAGTGAAGCAGTCTTGGCAACCGGTGTGCGGTGTCAGCCTCTGTCTGATGTAGAGACACTGTGAAGGACTTCTGAGTAGATTTGCTCAGGGGACGGACGTTAAGTCACACATAGACTTTAGCCAAGAGGGCTGCCTGCAAAGTATCAGAAGTAAGCAGTTGATAACAAGGCTTGCTAGAGAGAACTTAGGTTCCTGGGGTGTAAATATTTGCTCCCCAGGACTCAGCAGCTGTAATCCCCCAGTCCCGTAACAAAACGCTCCAGCTGCGTGCAGGGTCACAGCCCCCAGGTCCCCTGCGCTCTTCCCAAGAGAAGCATGGAGTTCATGGGCAGGGTGAGCCTGGGTGGCAGCTCCTCCAGACCCGCGCTGGCGTGCTGCAGTGGTTCCCACTCTGCGGTGTCCAGCTCTCCTTTGCCTGAGGACCAGACTTGTAGTCTCCTGTGCATTTCAACTGTTCAGAGTGCAGCCTGGGCCCAAGAGCCGAAAGAGGCTTAGGGGTGACAGTGTGTGGAGTGTCCAAGCCTAAGCCGTCTCTAAATTAGTGACACCTTCTGTTCTGTCGGTGCCTCTTGGGACATTAGCCACAGTCCGCCTCCCCAAGTGTGCGGAGTGATCTGTAACATGTGGATAGCTGGTTTCAGGAGTGAATGGGTCACAGATGGTGACATTCCCGTAAGGGGTCACCCAGCACTCGCTGTCCCTGGAAGCAGTGGCGGCTCCCTTGGAGACTGCCGAGGCCAGTGCTCTGAGGTCTTTGCCGTTAGTGGCGCTGCCGCAATCCCCGCCGTCAGGAGCCCCGGGAGCGATGCTGGTTTGAGACCAGCTTTGGCCCGGGCATGGTAGCACACACCTTTAATCCCAGGATTTGGGGGAGAGGCAGGTCAGCTTGTGAGTCCAGGGCTCCAGTGAGACCTTGTCTCGAACCAAGAGACAAGTGGAGCTCCTTCGGTGTCCAGGAGCTGACCGACTCGAGACAGAAGCACAGACTTAGAGTGCGCTGCCCCTGACCTGTGGCACTGTGTTTCAGCTCCACTGGCAGCCACTTCTCCATGTTGGGCATCGGGGACATTGTGATGCCCGGCCTCCTGTTGTGCTTTGTCCTTCGCTATGACAACTACAAGAAGCAGGCCAGTGGTGACTCGTGCGGCGCCCCCGGCCCGGCTAACATCTCGGGGCGCATGCAGAAGGTCTCCTACTTCCACTGCACCCTCATCGGGTACTTCGTAGGTGAGAGGCCGGCAGGGCAGCGGCCAGTCCTCCTCCTCCCCCACTCAGTGAGACCGCAAGAGCAGGAACTGCTGCCCAGAGCCCAAGGCGTCCGGGGGGGGGGGGGGGGCACGCACCAGCGGTTCCGGTGCACACACGACCACAGACAGGAAGCAGCAGCGGTCACTAGGCCAGAAATAGAAACAATGTGTGTGCGCGCTCGCGCTCTCCCTCTCCCTGTCCCCTGCAGAGTGCGTATAAAGAAGGGGGGGGGGGCCTTCACTGACCTGGCGTACACCTGAGGTCTTGTCAGTCTGAGACCTGAGGGGTCAGGCTAGTGTCCCCATTTAGCAGGTAGAGGTTGAGAGAAGGCCCAGGCTAGCTTGTGAGGCTGCCGAGTATCCTAAGTCTGTCCTCACCTCAGGAGGCCGTCCACAGAGTGGGTTGTGAGCCGGGCATGGGGGTTTGGAGGGGCTTCACTAGCCTCCGTTTCCATGACGACGATGATTCTACCTGTTAACAATGTCTTTTGGCCTAGGTCTGCTCACTGCGACGGTGGCATCGCGAATCCACCGAGCCGCCCAGCCCGCTCTCCTCTACTTGGTGCCATTTACCTTATTACCGCTCCTCACCATGGCCTACTTAAAGGTGAGCGCGTGCGGTGGCCATCCCGTAACCACAGGGAGGGCTGATGAAGTCCCTGCATCGTCACGGGTCATGATCCAGCGGTTAGCTGAAATCACCCGAGTCACCCCGCTGGGACTTGGTATTCGATTGCAGCAGGTGCCCTCGGCCACGGGCACCAGGGCAGTCCTGTCCCCTCAGCACTCAGAGACTGAGAGTTCAGGACCAGCCTGGGCCGCTTAGCACCATTTGGCAAGGACTGGAGCTCAGTAAGGCCCCAGGATCAGTGTCCATCACCCAGGTACCAAACAAAACCAGAGGCCCCATTGCCCCTGGTGGCTTTTACTATCAGCTTTGAGAGAAAGTGCTCAGAGTCCTTGCTGTTCTAGAGGGTCCAGCTTCATTTCCCAGCACTGTGTGCAGCTCAAGACCATCTGTATTATCACTCGAGTTCCAGGGGATCCAGCGCCTTCTCTAGGACTCATGGGCACTGGGAACACACGTGCTCCACATCCACACTGTAGACTCTAAATAAGTAGTTACTGTTAAGGCAGTATATGGCTCCTGTCCCCCAAGTCTCCTAATTTAGAGTATTTTTTTTTTCTTTTTAAAGATAAAGACAGGACAGGGTTTCACAATGTAGCCCAGGCTGGCCTACTCACAAGGATGCACCTGCTGACTGTGCACAACCCTAAAGTGTGTGTGTGTGTGTACACGTGTGTGTGTGTGTGTGTGTGTGTGTGTGTGTGTGTGTGTGTGTGTGTGTGTGTACACCTGTGTCCGCCCAAAGAGTGATTCCTTATTTACCAGGTTTTTAGTCTCTGGTTTTACAGATAAGAAACAGATGAGATTCATGAACATGCTTGAGAGAGAGAACTGCCCTCGGGGCTCGGGGTGGGTGTGAGGAGTCCTGGGAGATGAGCTTCTGCATACCCAAGGCCTCTGCAGTGAGGAAGGCTGGTGCTCTGTGATGGCCACAGAGCATTCTGATAGGAGAAAGGACTGGTGCCTCCTGTCTGACCCTGGCTCATCCTTGCCCCTTGTCCCCAGGGTGACTTACGAAGGATGTGGTCTGAGCCATTCCACTCCAAGTCCAGCAGCTCCCGGTTCCTGGAAGTATGATGGATCGCGAGGGAAGTGACCAGGATGTTATCATCGCCCTTCTCTCTCACCTCACGGTTTTGTTTCCTCGAAAAGCTGGCCTGCCCCTCACAGGAGCAACAGTGTGCCTGGGGTGCGTCCGCAGGGAGTGCAGGAGGCGGGAGCCTGCCTGCCTGGGAGCCGTTCTCTTCTGCACACTGCAGCGTGGACCCTTCCAGAAGCGACTGCCCTCCCGGGGTTTTATGGATTGGCACCGGACTGTTTCCTCGCGGGAGCAGCAGAGCGGACTGACTTAACAACTCCAGATGGCCAGGACTTGTTCCAGAGCATTGAACACTAAAAGGACGGGAAAAGAGCGAACGCAAGTCTGCAGTGAACCCTCCAAAACTTTGGGACCAGTTCCTATGGGGGACTCCATTTCAGAGACCTGGGACAGAAGGTCTGTCCTCCTATTCTTTTTTTCCTTTTGGATTTATTAAATATTTTCTGTGGTGTGAAGTGACTTATTCAGTCCACAGACATGACTTCTTACAACGTACACCTAAGTCTGTTGTAACGACTGTCCAGCCGTGTTGGCAGTGAGCGTGGACACGGTTTTATACATACGTACATATATATATATATACGCGCACATAGATAGCTGTGAGTAAGCAGCCACTAACCCTGCTAAGATCATGCCGTGTAGCAGACAGGGCTTGCTGTGGTTTGAGCATGCAGAGCAGTTGACTATGGCTTCCTTGCGTGGGCTGCTGTCTCCCCCACGGTCCCCTGCAGTTGTGAACTGTGGACGCGTTGAACCGATAGATTCTTGAGCTCTGGGGACCCCACTTCTTTTGATCAGTGTAGCAAATTAGGGATTAAAAAGTTTGAACTTTTTGACCCTTTTCTTTTTACAGGCTTCTCCCTCGCAGTTTTTAGTAATCGCCTCTGAACCCGTGCATGTATTATAGCCGCCAGGTGTCTGTGCTTTCCGATCATAGTAATGTACTACCTGTAAATACATTTTTCTATTTTCTATTTTTTTGTATTTTTTTTGACATTTCGTTTCATTGGTGCGCTGTATTTTCCATGCCCTCACTCCTCTAAGAAAAATCAAAAAGGAAAAAGCAACACAGTCCTGTCCCTGCTGTGGTGATTACAGTCTTGGCTCACCTGTGGTGACCTTTGTGGGCACTGGGGACAGATGTCAGTCGCCTCTCTGAAAATGGGACTAAAATCCACGAGCTGGTGAGCTGGGGCGGAAGCAGGCTGTATCATTGCTTCCGATCCCGGCCTTGTGCCGTCTGCGGCCTCCGCAGGGCCGGGCACGGTAGTGCCCAGCGTCAGCGTCAGCCTGGTGAACTGCCTGGGTTCAGCGCGGACAGCGGGCACGGATCGGAGTCTGTTCTTCCTGGAGTCGCCGCCGCCGCCAGCCTGGCCTGCCTGTGCAGGGAGTTGGTGCTGTGGACCCCGGGGCCGGCCGCTGTCCCCATCTCCCCAGCGGAGCAGGACGCCGGCCGCTGTCGTCGTCGTCATTCTGCTGAAGGGTTTGAGGGGCCGGGTTTTGTCTCTAATAAATGACTCCTTTTTCTAGCCTTTGTCCTGACTTCACTTTGGGGGTTGGTGCTGGGCTCCTCCTCTAACTTCCTCCCTCTGTGCCAGAGACTGATGGAAACCCTGTCCCCTGTCGTCACCTGCAACTCTGGCCCCATGGTGGCAATGTCACAGTGCCGAGGCTCCCACCGTCTACAGAGCCGACGGCTTAGTGCAGGGGACTCCACGCTAAGCGCCCACCCGGAGGGGCCCGGAGGGCCTGGCGGGTGGTCAGTGTTTCAGTTCCAGACCGAGGAGCGCGACCTGTCTCTTTGGCATGAGTCTGTGGGAAGAAGTCTCGAGTGCCGCTCTGACTCGGCGTCCATCTGCAAGCCTGTCTGCGGAGCCTTTGAAGCACTCCCCGGGAGCCTTGGCGGATGCCCGGAGGTCCTCCAGTTCCGGGGGGCGATCGGAGGGAAGCGGGGCCTTGGGGAGACGCAGTCCCCTGCCTGTGCCTGTTACACCCCGTCCTGCTCTTCCTGGTCACTCAGTGGAAGGTTTCGACACGTTCTCGGGTCTGTCAGGCAGGGTCTTCACCTGTCTCAGGTCTGGTCCCCAAAGAACCTGCACGCTGCCTTCACACCTGTTCTTGGGTGAACTGATAAACATCTCACCCCAAAGCGTGGCGTGCTCCGTTCAGACTGCCATGGTGTCGCCATCTTCGGAGCAAGGTGTGCCACGCAGCTCCCTGTACAGGACAGCTGGAGCTGTGGGGTCCCGGGCAGCACAGGCCTCCCTTACCCAGGTTGGCTACTGTACCCACAAGAAACAAGGGTGGTGGGGAGGGGTTTGGTCTCCTCACTAGTGTTGAAAATAGAATTGAGTCTGTACAGCTCCTTCCGGCTCACCAGGTCAGCCCGTGTGGAGACGCTGCATGGGAGGCACATTTCTTCAGAGCAAGGAAGTTAAATGTTTTATCTGCAGGTCTTCAGGGCACACCACATGCGTGCCTGATGTCCATGGAGGCCAGAAGGTTCCAGCTCCTCGGGAACTGGAGTCACAGATGGTTGTGAACTGTCTTGTGGGTGCTAGGAAGCAAATCTGAGTCCTCTCCAAACGCCCCCTTTTTAAAAAATGTCTGTGGGTGTTTTTTCCTGCATGTATGTATGTGCAGTACATGTGTGCCTGGTGGCCATGGAGGGCATCAGGTTCCCCTGGAACTGGAATTAGAAGTGTTTGCAAGCTGCCACGTGGGTGCTGAGCATCAAGCCCGGGTCCTTTGCTGTTAAACAGCCTCTTGAAGGCGTGTAGACAGGAGCGTGCATGCTCCCTCTGCAGGGCACGCCGCTCAGCCTCACCACTGTGCCCATTTCTCCGGCCCGTGGCAGTGAGGTATCTCTGGAATGGTGGGCCCTAATGTCTCAGCAGGAGAGACAAGCACCGAGCTGAAACTTGGAGACAGTATCTACAGACTAGCTGCTCCTGGGGAGTGGAAACGAAACTCAGACTTGCCCGGGTTTGCATCAGCCTACCTGAGGCCCCCCCAAGATCCTTTCTGTCCTTACAGGACATTCAATCATGTGTCAATACAGAGCACTGGGTATTCCCGCAAACCAGGTTTAGCATCCTAGTCCCTTACTTTTTGGGGGGAGGGGTGGGTTTGAGACAGGGTTTCTCTGTGTAGCCCTGGCTGCCCTGGATCTCGCTCTGTAGATAGACCAGGCTGGCCTCAGACTCAGAGATCTGCCTGAGTGCTGGGATTAAAGGCGCGCGCCACCCCCACCGCCCGGCCCCGCCTCCCTACTCTGGCAGTCAAGTCGGTAGGGGTCGCTCTCGAGCAGGGACAGCCACACGGCGGCTCCACGTCGAGCTCAATAGAAGGTCCCATGGCTTGCTCCCTAACTCTCTCGATAGCAAAACATCCCCAGCCCCGTGGGCCAGGGCTAGACCTGCCAGCTAAGAGAGGACTGAAGGACAGGCTGGTGCAGACGCCAGGGCTCCTGTGAGATGTCACACATAAATGGCCACCACGGAAAAACACCACAGCAGCCTGCGACCCATTAACCTTCAACCACAACAGGGCTGAGAAGTCAGCCGTTCCCCTGCCAAGAGGCTGTGACAGCCCTGTGTGTGGCACTTAGAGCTGGTCACACCAGTGCCAGTTGCCTGAGGTATTTGAGGCACACTAGCTGTGGTGACCTACATAAGAACATTACAAGATTGTCGGGGTGGCGCACACCTCTAATCCCAGCACTCGGGAGGCAGAGGCAGGCGGATCTCTGTGAGTTCGAGGCCAGCCTGGTCCACAGAGCGAGATCTAGGACAGCCACCAAAACTACACAGAGAAACCCTGTCTCGAAAAATCAAAAGAACATTACAAGATCAAAAGAATAACAGATTCCAGCATGGAAGCTTGGAATGGTTGTCCATGCCTTTTCCTTGTTTTTTCGAGACAGGGTTTCTCTGTGTAGCCCTGGCTGTCCTGGATCTCATTCTGTAGACCAGGCTGGCCTCGAACTCAGAGATCTTCCTACCTCTGCCTCCTGTCGTTTGGTTGTTCCTAGTCGGCCACATTCTTGTTCAGTGGACCATGTGAAGCTTGGTGCTGATTCTCCAGCAACAGAGGCACTGAGGGTCGCCATCCATGAGCCCCAGAGACGGAAGGCAGGACAGGAGGGAGGCTCTTGGACAGGGGTGGAAACAAGGCTGAGCCACAGGCTGGGGAAGTCTCCCGAGCAGTGGGCGGGGCAGGGGGCACTGTGCCCCGTAAGGAATGAGAGCAGTGGGTGTCCACAGGACAAAGAGCAGGATGGCTGCCTGCCAGCATTCCAGGCCACGAGGGCCAGGTCCCCTGCCTCGCGCTGGCACACGCCCATGTGAGAGACACCAAGGGCAGCCCAAGACCACACAGCTAGACCTGGCTTGGAACCAGGTCTCTGCCTGAGACCCTGAGGACAGAGGACAGGAGGAATGAGGCTGTCAACCTAGGGAAATGGAGTGAGTGGCGAATGACAGCCACCAGGCATCAGTACCGGCTCCCCAGGGTCCTTTGCAGTAGGTGCTATTAGTGTCATAGATCGGCCAGCCGCACCACCACGATCACTGACTTAGAAAAGACTTCCACCCACCAATACAGAGGAGGCTTTAAACACTCCCACATGGGGCCCCTCACAGCCCCAGCTCCAGGGGGATGCCACACCTAGGTCCTTGCACCTGCGGACACACACAGTTTAAAAAAAACAAATCTCTAAACTACTGTACGTATGAACAAGCATTGTTTTTCCCAACCATGAGATCGAAGCCTCACACAGACCAGGACTCCCCAGGAAGGAGGCAGCGGGACATGGGCCCAGCCAGCCAGGGTCCTAGCAGATTTGATGTCCGTGACAGGGCTCCTATGGCCAATATGAAGGAAGACAGCGGCTGCTGCTAAGACCTCAGTGAGAGCCGGTTCCTCCTCAGTCCTGCCAGGCAGAACCTTAAACACAAAACGAGAGGATGTCCCAATGGCACTGAAAAGGGTCCCAAGTCTGCCGTGGGGCAGAAGCCCCTGTCCACACAACCCTCCTGAGAATGACAAATGTCAAGTCCCAAGTGACAGAGCAGGGTGGGAAGGCGTTGGGAATCTGCCGTGTGGCTGAGGAAGGGCCCCATGAGCCTCCGTAAGGCACAGCTCGAAAACAAAGTCCCCAGCTTCGAAAACTAAAGAGCTGGAGAGGTGGCCGCGTGTTGAAGAAGACTTGCTGCTCTTAGAGAGGACCAAGTTCCCAGCACCCACAGGACCCACAACTGCCTACGACTAGGACCTCGTGTGTGTGTGTGTGTGTGTGTGTGTGTGTGTGTGTGTGTGCGTGCACGTGCGTGCGTGCGTGTGTGTGTGTGTGTGTGTGTGTGTGTGTGAGCTGATTGTGTCCCTAAGACACTCAGAGTCCAAGCAGCCCAGAAACTATTGCATGTTAGCTGCTGGCCATCACAGAGGGATTAATTTGAAGTCTTGAGTTAGACCAAGACTTTTAAAGCAGTTATTATAACTACATTCCAAGATTCACAGAATACACTCACAATAAACGGACAAGTAGGAACTGTCAGTAAAAATGTAACTATGAGGCTGGAAAGATGGCTCAGCAGTTAAGAGCACTGGATCTCTTACAGAGGACCCAGGTTTGAGTCCCAACACCCACATGACAACGCCTAACAATCCAGTCCTGGATATCTGCTGCCCTCTTCTGGCCGCGGTAGGTACTGCATGCACAGGTAGGCGCGCAGGAAAAACACAGTAAATAAATCCAAACAGGATGGCGCACGCCTTTAGTTCCAGCACTTGGGAGGCAGAGGCAGACAGAGCTCTGTGAGTCCAAGGCCAGCCTGGTCTACAGAGTGAGTTTTAAGACAGTCAGAGCTACATAGTGAGACCCTGTCTTGAAAAACCAAAACAAACTAAGAGAACCAAATCGGCCAGTCCTGGGGCCAAGCAAGGGACTGAGCTTCCAAAGCCTGCATATTAGAACATGGCTCAATGTCTATTTCATGTTCACTCAGGAGGCAGTGTGGTCTGTACAGTGAATTCTAGGCCAGCCAGGACTACACAGTGAGACCCTGTCGCAAGCGCAAGGCCCTGGGTTCATTTAAAAAAAAAAAAAAAAAAAAAAAAAAAAACTTCTCAAACCCACCAGAGCTAGGAAGGTGTAGCACCCCCATTTAGACCCCATGAAGAGGGGGACATGACACTACGTGACCACAGCCCCCACTGATTGCCACCTGACTGCCTGGTGTCTATCGAGTGAGGAGCAGGCAGAGAACTCCCAAGCGTCCCAGGGCCCACAGCTCAGCTCGGTTCCTACTGCTTGCATGGCCTGTGTGAACTGCCGAGCTCCATCTGGACCCATCCCGCACCTCTCCATGGGCCTCAGCCCAGAAGCCCGGCCACTTTGCTGAAATCTCTCCAGCTGGTTCTGCTGCTGCTACATTACCACTGCAGTGACTTAGGAAAAGGGTCAAGAAGCCCGCAAAGGCCCAGGTAGAGCAGAAGAAAATCACCTCATACTTGGGAAACTGAGGCA